AGGGTCTACTGCTGAGCCAGTTTCTCAGTCTACCACTTCTGATTATCAGTGGGATGTTAGCCGTAATCAACCCTATATCGATGATGAATGGTCTGGGTTAAGTATGTCCTTTTAAATTTTTTCAGTTACTTTCCTCAGAATTTTATTTCTAGCACCCTGAATTCATGCTTTATGTCTTAATTTTAATCCTAATTTCTCCCCTTTAAAGGTCATAGTAATATAATTTAACATCAGCTATACTACTTGGAACTTGATTCTGAATCCCTATGGAATTAAAACTAACTTTCTGTTATGACTGAGGCAGTTTTTGTTTTCTCATAGTTCTGGAGGACTCATTTTTAAATTTTACTGTTTTAAATGAATAATTCTATTTCTCTGGTTTTATTATAAAAGAAGGGATATAGAGTCTACAGCAGTGGCTTTGAATATTGTGTTGTGTGCACATTTTTTGTACTAGTAGACAACCATTTTCATAGCCCAGTTTGCAATAGAAACATAAATTTAAAGGAAGAATCATCTTGGTGGTGGTGGTGCCCCCTTTTAATCCCAGAATTCAGGAGGCAGAGGCAGTCAGATCCCTTGAGTTTGAGGCCAGCCTGGTTTACAGAGCGAGTTAAGGACAGCCAAGGCTACACAGAGAAACCCTGTCTCAAAAACACCAAAAAGAAGAAGAAGAAGAAGAAGAAGAAGAAGAAGAAGAAGAGTAAGCTGGAGGCATTATGCACCAGCCTTCTGCCAGAGGGCAGAGCCAAGGTTGAGCTCTGTGAGTTCAAGGCTAGTCTGGTCTGTGTAGGAGTTCCAGCCACACAGGGCTACATGCAAGACCCTGTCTCAAAAATAAAAGTAAGAAAGGGGGAAAGAAAAAGAAAATAGTCTTCGTATTGAAAAAGCACACCATCTTCATTTAAAATTACAAACTTCTAAGGCTTCCCCCCCAATAGTCCAATTTTCGGAATTTATTCTTTCCTCTGAATTTTTATGTCACATTCTTTCCTACCTTGTTTCTTTCCATCATTTTAGTCTTTGTTTTAGAAAAGAAAGTATAGATGAAATGTTCTTATTTTTAATTTTTTAAATTATCTTCTGGATTTTTATTTTTTTACTTTGACTTTATTTTAATAATTTTTTTATTGAGTTGAAACCTCCAGAAAGAGAAACTTGATTACTCTTATATACGCAGGACTTTTTTTTTCTTTGTGGGGTGGGGGGCTGGGATTCTGACAAAATAACCCTGGCTAGCCTAGAACTCAGTGATCCTCCTACCGTGCTTCCCAAGTACTGAGATTAAAGGCGTGCACCATCATTCCCACTACTGCAGTTCTTTTCAGAGGGTTTAGTGTAATGTATGAGGAAAGTAATGATTTGGTAGTGATGGTGATAAAGGTAAACACAGACCGTCTGCCCGGGGCTGGTCTCAGGTTTTTGCACAGTATCACCATACTTAATACTTGAAGCAGTTGCTGTACTCATTCTCTTTAATCCCTGCGTGGTACAGTCACAGTGATGATAGTAACCATGGAGACAAGCTTTGTGATACAGTGACTGAAGCAGAGTCCGGACAGATTAAGGGAGATTAGGTGAAAGGTGATTAGAGAGGCCCATGTCTGAACATTAAGAAGGTGAGAGCTAAGGCTGTTGGACTTGGTTCTGTGTTGTGTTGGTGTTCTTTTAGACATGGTCTCACTTTGTAGCCCAGTTGGCTTTGAACTCTCAGTCCAACGAAGGTACTTGTTTGGAAAGTTTAGTTTCAGTCCTAGGTCTAGAATATGGTATTTCATATGTCTTGAGCTTTCTCATATTTTGGAATCTAATTGAACTATAAAGCAGAACAGAATCCATTCTCTCTACTTTGAGTAGTTTTGAGAAAGCTCTATAAATTATAATGTATCAAGATGTGTACGGATACAAAAGCATGAGTTTTAAAGAAAATTTGTCTATGTTGCTTTTAGGACAAATAATCATCTCTGCAGTGCAGAACTAGGAAAGCAGCAATAAGGGATCTGTGCTGCTGAGAGTTAAGACCACTGAGCCAGTAGCTACAGGCTGTCCTGCTGGACGTGTTACTGTACCTGTCTGTATGAGGGTTTTCTAATAGGAAAACCATTGTTGACTGCTAAAACAAATAAAAATTACATATAAAAGTGTGTTGGTGAGACTCTAGATACTTAAAGCCAGGTGTATTCTGGCAAGATTAGTGGGTAAGGGCACTTGCCTCCAAGCCTTAGAACCTGAGTTTGATCCCTAAAACCCACATGATAGCAAAGAACTAGTTCCCACAGTTGTCCTTTCATTTCTACATATATACACATGGGTCCGCACACACACAAATGAATAAATAGGTAAATGTTAATTGTATGGGGGTGGTCCTGGTGGATCTAGAGAGATGGCTCAGCGATTAAGAGCATTTGCTGCTTGTATGGGAAACCTGGGTTCAGTTCCAACACCCCCACATGATGGCTCACAACTATCTGTAACTCCAGTTCCAAGGGATCTGATACCCTTTTTTGGCCTCCATGGACATGGCACACAAGATATACACAATGCAGGTAAATGTACACCACATAAAATTAAAATGTAGAAAAAAATGGTGGTACACACTTTTAATTCTAACCCTTGGGAGGCAGAGGCAGGCAGATCTCTGAGTTTGAGGTCAGCCTGGTCTATAAAGTGACTCCCAGGACTACACCAAGAAACCCTGTCTCAAAAAACAGAATGAGACAAGTATTTACACACACACATAAAGCAAGGTGTGGGGGTGAATGAGTATAATCCCAGTACTTGGGGATTAAAGCACTTGAAGAGGCAGGAGGTTCAGGAATTCAAGATCTTTCTTGTCAAGGCTAACCTGAAACACTTGAAACCCTGTTGCGAGAGAAATTCTATACTTATATGTATCTATAATTATATATCTAGATATATCGATAGATAGATAGATAATTATATCATCAAGAATACCATATTCAAGTTTGCTATGCCATATTAATAGCCTTCTACATCCAAAATTTATTTTTAATTCATTTTGCCTGAATTTTATTTTTGTGTATGTGTATGTGTATCATCTTTAATGTGGTTTTGGTTTGGATTTTTTGCTTGTTTGTTTTGGAAGGGTGTACTCGTTGAATTTAATTATCACTCTTGAATTTATAGAATGCATTGCATAGTATATTATGGTAACTTTTAATATCAATTTGCCACAAATTAGAATCAACAATAGCTGTCTCATTGTGGGACAACGCCTGGTAGTGACTCAGTCCATAAGGCCGGGTGCTTCAGTAGTCCAAGTCTGCTGCTTAGAATGTTGTAGAGAACCACCGGTCTCTAGTTCATAATGATAGAGACATGGAGTTTGCTGTGAGAGAAGGGACCAGCAGCAAAATGGGGCAGATTAACTTGGTGGCAAGAGGGAAGGCCAAGTGAGCAAAAGGCTACTTAGTGGGGGATTGAATCTGTGTTTAAATGCTGGAGAACAACATTGTTTACAGAAGTTTTCTGATAGAAATAGCTGATCCCTTGCCAGATAGACATAGTGGCACTCATCTTTAATTCGAGCACTCAAGAGAGACAGAGAGGCAGGCAGATCTCTGAGTTTGAGGCCAGCCTAGTCTACAAAGCGAGTTCTGGGACAGTCAGGGCAACACACAGAAAGAAACCCTGTCTCAGAACACAAAAAAAGAAAAAAGAAATAGCTGATCTCTAGATTCAGGCTAACAGTGCCATTCTTGAACCTAAAACATTATCCCACAAGCAGATTAAATGAAGAAATAAATTCCTTATCCATATAATATATATTCCTATATATTAATATATATTAATGCAGCTCTGTGTTAAAAAACATTGGCAGACTTGTAAAAATTTGGGGGTGGGGAAATGGCTCTGTTTAATAAAAGAATAAGACTACACTATCAGTCATTTTCAAGAAAACTATGTTTAAGAAGTTCATTAGGGCTGAGGATATAGCTCATTGATAGAGCAAAGCCATGTTCAAATACGATCACTACCAAAACAGAAAAACTACATTGTTTATTAGCACATTAAACCTATGAATCTTAAGCATTATTCACTGGAAAATCTCTACACAATTATGTTTGGATTTGGGTTATTAAATTATTAAGTAGTTTTTATTCAATCCCAGTTAATTAAAAAGTAATCTCTATTCAGTAACAAGAAAAAAAAACAGCATAGGCTTTTATAGAGTCTGTAAGCACAGATTTGTGCTTCTGTTAATGTTTTTACAGAAATTAAACCAGAGAGGACAACTCTTTCTCAGATTTGAATTCTCTAAGTATTACACTAGATTTCTGTTCCTCCCCACACACGCTATAGTATTCATTAAGAAAGTGGGCTTGTGTTAGTATGCTGCATATAAACTCTTTGTACTTGGTAGTCTCTTTTCTGGCAGTCAATCTTAGAGACATGGCTAATGGACAAGTTTCCAGAGCTTTCCATCAGTGAGTTTCCTCACAGTGAAGCTCTTACATTTGAAATCCTCTAACAATATCGTTAACAAATGTTTGGTATAAGATGAGAAGTTAGCTCCAGACATCTACTGGATCCATTTGTGCTTATAAAAATGACTCCCCATTTCTGTATTTAAGATTTATCAAATATATCGGAGCTGGCATGAAGTCCATTGAAGAATACTTACCTGTCATGGACAAGGCTCTGAGTGAATCCCTAGCATTTAAAACAAAAGTGTTATCTCATGGAGTTTTCTCAAAAATCTATCAGTTTTAACGGTTTCAATGTCACCTTTGATAGTAAAAGCAGTAGCTTCCATTTGTTGAGCGATTACTATATTGCTGTGAGCTGCTGCTGTAAGAGTATCTTACATCGTCCTGTCAGAACTGCATGAAGTTGGTATAGAGCCTGGTGTGGTGGTGCATGCCTTTAATCCCTGTCAAGGCAGTCTGGTCTACATAACCAGGACAGCCAAGGCTACAGAGAGACCCTGTCTCAAAAAAAAGGAAAAAAAAAAAAAAGCCAGGCTTGGTGGTACATACCTGTTATCCCAGCACTTGAAGGCAGAAGTAGGCATATCTGAAGAAAAATGAAAGGAGCGGAATTAAGCAGTGTTGTGTCACATTAAGTAATAAAGGGTTATTAATGGACATTTGTTTGACAGTGAGGCCCATGTTTTTTTTTTTTTT